ATTTATTTCAGTCGTATCATACAGCATTTTACGGAGACAGTGAATCTATAACTGGTGTAATGAACACTTGAAACTTGTTAACCAATTGAAACTCGCAATACAAATTCTGTACCTGTCATGCGCAAAGTTCAATTTGCAGTTATCTCTTTCCACAATAAAATGATATAACACTTCGAGGCAAAATATAGATTAAATTTGGGAAATGATTAAAGGCGACAGTGCGCATAGCGCCTAGAGGATGAAAGCCAGATTTTATAGCAAAGTTGCTGATCATTTTGCTCGTAACCCACGAAGAAATTAATTTTATGTTTAAAATGACAAGTTAAGATAATTTTATGTTGTTATTTTTTATTTGTATGTCAAATAAAAATTATTCATTTTCGTCTAAGATCTTGAGAGTGTTATTTACTTATTTAAGCATGTTTTTTCAGGACATGTCATAGACAAACAGACAGATAGACATTGTGTTTATCTGTGTGAATTCACTGATGTTTTGTCCTATTGCTAGGCTCCTATATTGTCCGGTGTCTGTCTGTGTTTGTTACCGTTTGTTAAAAAAAAAAAAAAAAAAAAACTGACATGGGAATTCTTGTTATTATAATTATGTTAGTTGAAGAATAAAGTTATATTCAGACCAATTTTCAATTTAATAAGTGCGGTGGTCTGTGATCGAGCTCACCCCGATAATAATGATCCGATTTTTTGTATGCTTGCGTTTGATATAAAATCTAAAAAGAAAATCATAACATTGAAAGAAGAAAAGAAATTAAGAGATTAGTAATTGCTGCATGAAAAATAATAATACATTGTTTTAAAAATAACGTATTTTTATAGAGAAATATTTTTAACAAAATTAGTCTTTGCTTATTCCACAGGTAGAACATTTACGCATTGATCTTAAAGAAAGCAATTTTTTTCATTGTAAGCATGTATATTCAAAATTATTTAAAATTAGACTCCCGCTGATTAGGAATGTGTAGAAGTACAAATTGTAACGGGAGAGAACTATAGAAGAAATGATTTATTCTCCCATTGTATTTCCCCTGCTATGGGAATTATTATAACCGTAGTTCACGGATGGGATGGAATGACTGATAGGAAAAAGAATGACAAACATGTTTTGTTCTGAGACAGACTTTTATACTACTAAGACACAAAACTATATATATATTACATATAATATGGAGATACTCCTGTGTCTGGAGAAGCCATGTTTAGGATACCAGATTCAAACGATCCTGATTCATTAATGTCCCAGCCGAGGTCATATTCCACGAACAGGAAAGAGCGAGTCTTTGGTTTTCCAAAATTGAGCTGGAGATTCCTTCTATATCTGGGAAAGATATATTTCCAAAGGGAAAAGGTACTATGGACTTGTAATCTGCAGGGAAAACAGATTAACCATGGGGGTTGGGCTAAAAATAGCAACCTTTCGGTGTTTCTGCCGTAAACGAACTTAAATTGGCTGCCGCTTTCGTCACTGTATGAACTGACGTCACTAAGCGGCTGTCATTACTTAAGGGAGATAAACGCCTTCTGTATCCTTATAAAGTAACGTTAACTTTAATTTTAAATCTAGTTGGAGTTTGGCTAATTTGAAAGTTGTCATCAGTAGTAGCTACTTAGTATTCATTGGTGGACAAATGCTTTTCTCATCTGCTTCCATTACGACTGTACCTGTTATACTCTCTGCCATATCTTACCAACAAACTCTTCTCTTAAATTTCTCCATAATCCCTTTTGACTTTTCTGTGTTTGCTTCCTATTGGTCAGCAATCAAGAATCCTTTTGTTCCATCTGTTATCCTTTCTTTTTGTCGTGCGTCCCGCCAACCTCCATTTTTGTTGCGTAACACTTCTACTATATCTATTGGTATCTATTACCTGGAAGAAGACAATTAAAAAATAGATTCCTTTATTTATTTGTAGTTATGATTCCTATAAATAGAAAGTGAATTGATATTAAGCTTAACGACCGACTTTAGCAGCTTTTAAGCAAGTTCATTCAAAAGAAAGAGGCCGACGATATCTCTGTTGGCTTTCTTACACAACACGCAGCTTTTTAGCAATCGAGATTTTCCATATGATAAAGCCGGTTCTAATGGCCTATCGATAGTAGCACTGACTTCATTCCATCAAATTACTATTTATTTGGACAACTGAAACACTAAACCATTTGCTGAAAGTTAAAATTTCTTAGATAAAAGTGAACTCCGTGTAGATGGGCAAAGATATACTTCTCTGTAAATAGAAACCTCCAATTAAAATTATAGAATATAAGTTAAATAGAGCAAAGCACTTTATTGGATCACATTGTAATGTGGCCTGTAATGTTGCTTTTAGTTTAAAATACCGTATATACTCGTGTATAAGCCGATTTTATGTATAGTACAATCCCTGAATTTATTTGTATGAATTTTAACACCTCAAAAGAATGCATTGTGCGCCACCACGAAATAAAAAAAAAACTGATCATAAAATTCGCACTATACACGAGTATATGCGGTATCCATCAATAATTAAATACTTGTTTATTTATGAATATTTCTTGTATTTTAATATTTCAATATTTCCCAACGTAATGCACCCTAACTAACTGATTGATGGGGAGTAACGATGGGGAGTAAGGATAATGGAAAAGGGGGAGATTTTCTTAATTAATTCGTAATGTAAACATCTCCTCCTCGCTATGGTCTAATCAATTCCTTTTTTTTTTTTTAGCGGGAGTAGATAAGCCTTCCCTTTTTTTTTTAACTGGAGTACAGGTTTTAGGATGGGGTATCCAGTAACTTATTTATTTATTTACATTTTTTCTCCTCATTAGGAGTAAATAGGTTTGCCTATCACCCGGTTCATACTCCTCCTTGAACAGGAGTAGAGGTAATTAATTTGGTGATGTTTCGTGTTGCCCGGGGCCAACTGCTTGATTGTAAGACCCTAAAACTCGAGTAGGGGTCTTTAGGGTCTTGTACTGAGAAAGGAAGACATTTTAAATACGTAAAAACAGATGAAACGTGAAATAAACGCTTTACTTAAATTAAATTTTCATTTCACTCTTTGTTCTGCACGTCCAGTTCACACTCCTCTTTTGAACAGCAGTAGAAGTAATTAATTCCCCTTGATAACTGTTTCCTCTGCTGTGGCCAGGTATTGAACCCACAACTCTTTGGGTCAAGTTACTCTTAGATCAATCAACCAACCAAAGCTTTTATCCCCTGTGTCATGTGTCCTTAGGGACATTAGTGAATTAATTAAAACAGATATCCAAAAGCATGGCACGAGGAATTAGAACAATCTACCCACCCCCCGTGGGTTCAGCTCAAAATTCCAACAGATGTTACCTGAAGAAGGCTGTAGCGCACAGCGACCAAAAAGTCGTGAATATTACAATTAAGATTAGTAAACACTGTAAATAGTGTAAATAGTTACAATACTTCATCTCAGAAATATAGACAGATGTTGAGCAACACTTTTTTTTCCTGAAAAATGTACCACGCCATTGCGCTGACGTCAGCGTGCTTGTGTCTTAAAACAGCAATCACACATTAAGCTCATGGAGAAAACGATTTAATACAATCAAAAGTTTTAAATATGCATAAAAAATATTAAATGAATCATATAGTGATTTTTTGCTCACAAATAGTGCTTTTGAATTCTTCTTGACATTTTCTCGTCTAATTCTAATAATTGTGTTTCGGAGACAGCAAATCCTTTTTAATACATGTTTCGTTGAACAAGGCTGACAAGGTATTTCTGTTTAGTTTTTTATTGTTTTTTTTTTTTTTTTCATATAGATGTCAAAGTGTCTTCTTTTCTGGACTTAATGAATATAAAAAAATGCCCAAAAGTTTGTTAGTTCCGAATACTTTCAGCTAAATTGTTAGCAACTTTCAAGGATTTTTCGTTACACATCACTTATTATAGTAATTATAAATGCTATTGTAAGAATTGGTATAAACATTACTGAAAGTAGGTATATTCTTAATTTGCAAATACGGTCAATGCATTGTGGCCGTGTTCATAATGTTATTGGTTTCTTCTTTTTTACAGTAGGGGCTTCTATCACTTTTAAACGCTTTTTGAATTGGGAAGTACGTATCACATTCGTGTTCTCGGCGTTTATGTTATGTATAGTGGCTGGTATTGATCCATACTGGTGTAAATGTGTCCGTATTGAGCTCCGGTCGTAGAGATATAGAGTCAGTCGTTTTGACAGGAGGGTGGGGTGTGTGTCCAATATAATTATGTATAGGTTTGTTTTCGTTAGGACCATCTAAATTTATAAATTATGTTGGTTTCAATAGCGTGCAGAAGAGGGAGCAGAAGGTGCGACAGCCCTGGATATCCATATCGGGGGGCGTCCAAGCGTATTGTTCGAGATCTTCAGGAGCTGATATCTACAAACGACTAAAGTTAAGAAAAAGAAAGCTGTAAAATTTCGAAATATTCGACTACTCCATTTAAATTTTTTTTTATATACAAATATCAACTTTATCTCAAGGTTTTTAAAGAAAAACGAATTTAAAAACTGCAAACCTAGAAATTTTATCAATGAATTGTATTTTCAGACTCGAGGAAAATTAATTATCTCGGGACGAGAGCCGGGGTGTCTCACTGGGCAGTATCTCGCCTTCGGGAAGAGGCTAGGTTTAATCTCTGGTGGCCCCAAAGGGGGAACTGCCGAAAGGCTGTACTATTTTTGGTTTCTAGTTCAAACTATGAATGGGATTCCCACTTTAAACTTGACTTTGTGCCATCTTCCATTGAGTGCTTGTCCGGACAACTTATATCGTGTTTGCAATCCTATACTGGACGTGTCTGCGTTATCCCAAATGGAAAAAGAGAAAGGAAAAAAATAGTAAAACAAACTCAAGTTATAAAAAAAAAAAAAAAAGCCAGCATCTGGCGTTTGTTCTCGTCTACGATCAAGCGCAACTTTCTTAATCAAAATTTCTGATTTCGGAACGGAAATTTATTGTTACACTTTGATGAATCATGCAGCTGTAATAATGATCAGCAATCCAAGGAAAAAAATTCGACGTCTGAAATCTCTCTCTCTCTCTCTCTTTCTTTCTTTCTTTCTTTCTTTCTTTCTTTCTTTCTTTCTTTCTTTCTTTCTCTCTCTCTCTTTCTCTCTCCCATGTGTATTTGTAATTTATATTATCGAGATACCTCTCAATGTTATTGATACATATGCATATTTTATTTACATACAGTTAAAAAGGGAAGCCGACTCGATTACGTAGCTACATACACACTCACTACAAATGCGCATGACACACACACACTGATACACACACACATAAATGCGTATAAATGTGATTTGCGCGCGTTTTTTTTTCTTTTCTATACATCCCTACCTAAACATATACACACGTATAAATACACAATACATAATCTAAAAATGCTCAGGAACAGTCGAATCTCATTCAATTCAAGACTTATGGGATAAATAAGAAGAATTATTTCTGATTAAGGAGACAGTCGATATTAAAAAGAAAGATAAGTAAATGTTCGCTCTTCGATCTGCTTTTTGAACAAATAATAATAATAATAATAATAATAATAATTATTATTATTATTATTATTATTATCATTATTATTATCATTATATTATTATTATTATTTTATATTAATGAATTCATGAGACCCTCAATAAGTATTTCTATTTACGTTTTTCTACAGAGTAGGAGTGGGTGAGAGCGAGTGCCCCAACAGTATTTAACATTATTTATTATGCAACAACGAAATGGAATTATTTTCAGAAATTTACAATTGGTATTATTATTAATAGACATTTTCTTGTGAAATAAAAGAATCGAAAAGGTTAACGATGACTACGAAAAGCTCTTAAACCGGGCAACGTCAATTAATTTGGCTAAAATATACTGGGAATCATCTCCGGTGAACCCTCATTAAACCAGTTTGAAATAAATTTGATGGGTTAAAAATAGTTCAAGGATATTTCCCGACAAAGAACAGAAAACGAAAGTGAATTTTTCAGCCCAAAATATTGTGGTAGTATGATTAATTAAACTGCAAAGCATCTATTCAATAACAGAAAACACAATTGGTAGATACAGTGTAACCCGGATATAAGAGAAACCCGGATATAAGAGTGATTTTCTCTGGTCCCAAATTAGAGCCTGTGTTAATGTATATAAATTAGACCCGTATATAAGAGAAACCCGGATATAAGAGAGATTTTCTCTGGTCCCGTCCTCCCCGATATAAGAGAGTTCGTTTTGAGTGACAGTGTGATGTCGTAACAGAGGTCAGTTAGAGTGAGAGTAAAGTTCAATGACTTAATCTTGACTAGTCTAGAGACACAGTGTGTCCAATCTGTGTCTGTAGGAGACACCTTCTACCTTATGATTTTGCTTTGTGTGTCTAAGGGTAGCGCCGCCCGCTTTTTTGCCGACTTTGCTTGTCGTTGCATTTACTGGACAGCACTTTCACTTTACCCACTGTTCTGTTGAGTCAGAAGTTTGTCTGTTTGTTAATTTTGCCACTGAAAACTGTTTGCTTGCGATCATTGCGATTAGTGATGTCGGCGTCGGCGTCTCAACGAAAAACTCTGAGCATTTCTGAACAGTCGGAGCTCATCGACGATGTCAAAGTGAAGAAACTCAAATTTGCCGCTGCAGCCAAAAAGTACGGAATCGGTTATTCAACAGCAGCAAAAATTCTCAAGAAAGAAGACGATCTCAGATCTTGCATGCAAATGAACGGAAACACTAATCGCAAACGAAAGCGCCAGTCCGTGCACAAGGACGTTAACGAAGCGCTTACACAATGGTTTACGCAAGCATGTGCTCATGGAGCTACCGTCACCGATCACGTCATCAGGCAGAAAGCATCACAACTGGCCTTAAATCTTGAAGTTGATTTTGAACCGAGCAATGGCTGGCTCATACGCTGGAAGCAGGCCAATAACGTTTAGTTCAAAAAATTTCACGGCGAATCAACGTCAGCAGATCACGGTTCTGCCAACGAATGGGTGACAAACGTTTTGCCGCAACTTTTTCCTGGATATGATCCAAAAGATGTTTGGAACTGTGATGAAACGGAATTTTCTACAAAGCCATGCCGTCTGGATCTTTGCGATTTGCCGGCGACGAACAGTCAAAATGGGACAAAAGTTCCCAAAGATAGACTCACGATGCTTCAGTCCACAAACATGGACGGCAGTGAAAAGCAAGCTGTAGTTGTTGGTAAGTCGGCAAAACCACGCTGCTTTTAAAAATGTCAAAACTCTGCCGTTTTCTTACTTCGCTAATCGTAAAGCCTGGATGACTAGTCAGCTGTTTACTGACGTTATGAAAACGCTTGATCGAAAAATGATTGCTCAAAATCGAAAGATTATTCTGTTTTTGGACAATGCAACTTGTCATAACTTACTGCCGGGTACAAATCTGTCAAACATCAAATTGTCGTTCATGCCGCCAAACACCACCAGTCTCATTCAACCTTTGGATCAAGGCATCATTCGTTCATTCAAAGCGTATTATCGTCGTGAACGTGTTCGAATGCAGATCGCAGCGATCGATGCTACACCGCCAGTGCCGCTGTCCGAGGTGACCAAGCAGATAACTGTTTTGAAGGCCATGCACATGATGAAGCGAGCACTTTTCATGGTCAAACCGTCAACAATTCAAAATTGTTTTAAAAAGGCCGGCTTTGTCATTGAATCACAGGCTGAAGTGGAAGAAATACTCGACGAAAATGATCAAGTTTCTCCACCATCGGGCATGGAGCAAACAGATTTTGACGAATTTATCAGCTTTGACGACCGTACACAATGTTATGGAGAACTAACTGACACGGACATGACACGTGGTATAAAATCGGATGATCAAGATTTTGACGAAGATGATGATGCTGAAAGCGTAAGTTCTGAAGTTTCTGAAAGTGACAAACCAGTGCCAAATTCTCTGGCTGCATTGAATGCGCTTGAAACTCTGACAGCCTACTTTGAAGCAAAAAGCAGTAATCCTGATGGCGCATTGAAAATGATTTACGGACTGTATCAAAGTGTTCATGATGTTAACAAAGAGATTTCTGTACAATCAAAAATGACTGACTTTTTTAAGAAAAAAGTAATTTTTGATTGAATTATTTTGAAAACTGATTGAAAATGTATTTTTTCTGTGTTTTTATGTCTATAACTGTTAAATAAACTAGTGTTCTGTACGTAAAAAGCGTTATATGAAGTGTTCCCATACTTACCTAAACAAAATAGACCAAACCCGGATATAAGAGAAACCCGGATATAAGAGACTTCTTCTCCGGTCCCGACAACTCTCTTACATCCGGGTTACACTGTATATGCAAAATTTCAGATATAACTAAAAATATGTGTATAAGGAAAGGACAATATGAATAAAGACAAAAGGAAAACTTATAATTAGCCGACGTGTTTTTTTGAAAAACTAACATTTTTATATTATTTATAAATACTTGTTGCAAAATAAAATCCTTACTTTTGCCTTGATAAAGTCCATCATAGGACGAAACGCGTCGGCTAATATAAATTTTCCTTTAGTCTTTAAATTCTAGTGAGCCAGGAACTACCTACCAAGGTTTCACCTAACGGATTTTCAGGGCGAATTGGCTGAAGAGGATAGGACAAAGCGACATATTTATTAGTAAAAACAAACACTAAAAACTAAAATTAGCATAAAATCATAAGACGCAAAAAAAAATACTATTCTTTTATTCCAGTAACCAGGCTTTCTTATGTTTACACCCGTTAAGGATTCCCGATCTTTGGTTGAGTAACATATCGGGGTTACTAAAAGTACTTATGGTTAGTTTTTCCTTCATTGCATAGGAGGCAATACCTACTGTCGACTTTATATCTATAACATTTCTTTATTATCTCCCATTTAAAAAATGGGGTCGACTCTTTCTTTCTTTAATTTTCCATGCGTGGTTAGAAAGGCTAGTACATGTCTGTAAATATCATGTTTGAAATTGCTTATTTGATTATAATATCTTTTTTTTTTAAAGTCCCTGTGTTGAACCAACATATCTGGCCACTCGTATTCGAGAATACCCGTCTGCTAGGGCGGCTAAGCAATCCCTACTGCAGACGCTCGCTCAGGCAAATTTGTGTTTGCTCAACACCCACAAAGCCCGCCTGTGGTTTATACTGCTACTATGCTGAGCAGACCTTATTTACAGTTTCTGGGAGAGGGTCTGTTATCTAGCGTGATCGGCAATTTGAACAAGGCTAGCACGCTCAAGCCACGGCCACGATGACTTGTGGCTTTGTGCTAGCACAGCTATTGACGGCCCTCAAGATTTCGGTCTAACCAATTTCACTCACAAGGCTGGGGTCAACCCGTGCGATGGTTTGCAGACACTTTCCAAAGGTGTGGCACGCTGGGATCGAACTCGATTCATTCCGATAACACCAGGAAGTCTTATTCCTGACAAATCGACCATGTGTATGTATATATATATATATATATATATATATATATATATATATATATATATATATTATAAATTAATTGACTTAAAATATGGTTTTTTCCGCTACACAATTCTAACCAAGTTTCAAAAATGGAAGCTAAAAGCCCCGAATTTAATTTTGTAATTAAATTAAAGACATTAGTTCCATTTCATCCTCAAGCGAATTTTGGAGTAACTTTTTAAAATTACTGGGTTTTAAAGACACAGCTAAAAGCATAATTCATGTTTCCAAGGTTACAGATGAATCAATTTACCAGACGAGGGTTGTCTCGGTGTCTATATTTTAATGTATTAGTTATTGCTACGTTTTGGTAGTGGGTAGGGATGTATTTTTCAATGAAAAACCTTGGAAACATGAATTATGCTTTTAGCTGTGTCTTTAAAACACAGTAATTTTAAAAGTTACTCCAAAATTCGCTTGAGGATAAAATGGAACTAATGTCTTTAATTTAATTACAAAATTAAATTCGGGGCTTTTAGCTTCCATTTTTGAAACTTGATTAGAACTGTGTAGCGGAAAAAACATTTTAAATCAATTAATTTATAATATTAATGCTCTGTAAATTTACATTGAGCACTATTTTGTAAAAATAAAAATATCTATAAGAACACCGGATTATATAGCTTACTGTTCTTTCTTTATATATATATATATATATATATATATATATATAATCATGATTCATAGGTGGTGGTAGTACACACAATCCTCAGATAGTTGGTTTAATTGACGATTGCGTATACTACCACATATGAAACCATTGGTAGTGATCGGTCAAGCTAAAGTATGTCGGACTATATTATATAATATAATGCTCTGCTGTTTTTGTTGTGTAGCTGATTCTGCATATTTGCATAAAAATGCATCGAAAACAACCAAGAGGTTGCCATCCACGAAGAAGATGTCTGAGATCAAAGTGTAGTATCTGTTCCAGCCACAGCTGGCGCGCAGCAGCAACTCCAGCAGACCCTGAGCAGCAGCGACAACATGCGATAAACTGTCCTTTTCAGGACAACACCCTTCACCTCATTACAAAACTGTCAATTTAAGAACAACACTCTTCACCTCATTACAAAACTGTCCATTTAAGAACAACACTCTTCACTGCACTACAAAACTCCTTTTCAGAACAACGCTCTTCTCACATACCACATGAATATGCAGAGATCTTTTGCACTATCCCAGATATTGAGCACTTTAACCAATATTTTTTCCATGTATTTTCTTTAAGAACAATAAACTTGGCAATATATTTTTTTACTCAAGTCTTCGTTTTACTTGCTGTCTTCCGTCATTCAATATCTGGATTCGGGCCTTTATACCATTTGTAACACACACACACACACACACACACACACACACACACACATATATATATATATATATATATATATATATATATATATAATAAAAAATGAGATAACCAAACCCAAAACAATAAGAAAAAATTCAATAAACAAGTTAAGCAAATAATTAACTCACTAAAAATGCACATATAAACACAAGTAAATTAATTTAATCGTTAGCAATTTTGTCTCCTGAATCAATTACGACTGAGTTGTGAGTTTGATCCTCACTGGGTGCCTTATACTTTCGGTCTTATGCCACATCTAAGCTACGCTTAGAAAATCACCATAAGCACAAGTAAATTTAATAATCAACAAGAAGTAATGAATAAATAAATACAAAATACAATAGAGTAATTAATAATATATAATGAATAAAAGGTTAACAAACAACACTATACAATAGCTACAAATAACCTCATTCTGATCCACATTCATATTCAATAGCCTTTAGAATGATCTGTGATATTTAACAGATGCTAGCTACCCAATAACTGCTAGAATAATACAAAAAGCGAGAACTACTTGACTTTGCTACCCATAATGCCCCATTAACCAGCATATATAAATAGTCGAGCTGCTACACAACATACATGGGCTGAAGATTACGTTCACACATGAAGCAAATTGTCACCATTTGGTGTTGAGCTCAGTGTCCATTTAACGTTAATTTAACGTTAATTTCCCCGTTTAAAATGTCAGGGATGTCAACTCAACTGTACCCACTAAATATGACGTTTATTGTAATAACAAATGTACAATCAAAATGGAAAGCTTTAATACCAAAATAAAATATAAGCTAAAAGATTTGAGGACGTAGTAGAAACGTAATTAGTAATAGAAAGAGGATATTTTTATCCAATCGTAATTACACTAAGGAAATCCCAAATCTGTCAATTTTGTGTCCCCTGAAAATAGATGAAAACGAGACATTGCAACCCTCTATCGTCATTCAATTTAAAATTGTCAACTCTTCGATACAAGTCGTTTCAAAGCGACTCTCTTCTCACAAAAAGGGAGCAAAATGGCTAGAGATCAAATGACTCACCGAGAAATGATATTACATATATCAGTTCTCTGATACATGTGTCAGACAAGGATATCATGGCAGCTGAT